AGTCTCTCCAGCGTGTCCTGGGTCGTCCCCTGGGCCTCCTCCCAGTGGGATGTGCCTGGAACACCTCCCGAGGTGTTCCAGATCTAACAGACTTAGAGCTTAATCCACTGAATAAAGATAAAAAAAATCCCAGAGCAAATATGTCATGCCAAACAAAAATCAAAGTTTGATGAAAAGCAGACCGGACATTGTTTTCTCTCTTTGAAACAAATGTCAGGTACGTTTCTATGTGCTGTACATCAAACCCACACGCATCCATCAGAGGAAATTTGAAGCCAGTGGGAAGGAGTTGGAGCCGAACTTCAGCGACACCAGAAAGGTCAACACAGGCTTCCTCATGTCCTCCTACAGTGAGTAAGCAACAACAAACATCAGCTGTGGTATATTTTCACTCTTAGATTGCTTTAGTGGCTTTGACTCTACACAAAGTGGGAATGGTGTAGCAGAACTGAAAAAATAAACTATTACTCAGTGGGAAAATCATGGATATTCCAGTTAGTTTAACTTTTTCAGGCACCCTTTAAGTGGATGTTGTTGGGATTTTTTTTTTCCTCAGAGTTGGAAGCCAAAGGAGAATCGGATCGTCTGACTGAGGATCAGCTTTCGCAGATGATTAACAAAGCTGAGCTGGTCAAAATCACCGATAAGCTCCGGCCTGCTGGAACCTGGGCCTTCTGGTACCCAGAGTCAGAGATGGACAAAACGGAGCTGGAAACGGGGCAGGAAGTCAGACTGAAGACTAGAGGAAACAGTCCTTTTATATGTCAGAGAAAAACCTTAAACCTACTGGTTGCATATTTACCTTACTGTAACTCTAGAAGCTAAAAAGTAATACTAATGATTTCAAATGAATGGTTTGGTTTTTTCAGAGCCCTGAGCTCTGCTGTAGGTCACATGCAGCACGGATAACGTTCCTTCCTCTTTTATTCCACAGTCTCTTTGGCCAAAGTCGACAGCGGGACGGTTACCAAGTGCAACTTCGCTGGAGATGAAAAAGCCGGAGCCTCGTGGACGGACAAGATAATGGCCAATAAATCAGAGAGCAGCAGCTCCCAGAGGCCCGGAGGAGCAGGAGAGGGAGCAGAGGAGGAGGAATGGGTCAGAACCACATCTAACATTTGGATTTCTATTGCATTGATTAGAGTATTTTATTATTTTTTTATCCATCTTAGTTATAGTTTTATTAAGTACAAGGAAAATAAGATTTTAATTGATGTTTTAAGTTATAATTAATTCAACATAAATAATCATCTTCTTTTATTGAATTAAAACATTTATTTTTATTTCAACTAAATGGCATTTTGTTGTTTTACCTTTTTGTAATTCTAGTTTTTACATACATCTTTTTATTAGAATTTTGATCACATTATCTTAAAATAAATCATCTTTAAAAATGAAAATCAACACTTACACTAAAGTATGTCTGTGTTTGATTCACCAAATCCATTAGTTTTCATGCTTTGTACTTAGAATAAGAATTGTATTTTTTCTTCTGTAATTATACTTATTGTATTACTGCTGACTTCAATAACAAAATGCAAAGAGAACTGGAGCAGCTGCTTTGGCACTAATATAGTCTGGTTCTAAACATTCAGATGTCTCTATTGGTAGCTTTGTATGAATCTGGATCTATTCTTCAGGATCTAATGTTTGTTTCCCTTTAGGATGACTGAGGACACCAACTCACACCCCCTGATCCAGCCTTAGTCCTGGCCTAGTTCTGGATTTTAAGCTTGTTTGGCTTAAAGCTGAAAATCTTGTATTGCCTTAAACATGCCCAACTGGATATTTTGTTCTTTCGAATGTCTATTTAACCTTTTTATTCTTTTTGTTTAATCTCCTTATATAGAAAATAAGGACCTCAAACCAACAACTTGCATAATGTCATTTGATACTATTGTAAATGTATTACTGATTTACTACACTATTTATTTTTAAAGCATCTGTTCTGATGAGATAATAGAAAAACTGAGCTCTTTAAGATTTTCTTTGCTTTTTTGCTCGTCTGGTGCAAGATTTCCATTTTTCATTCTACTGCAGCACCATCATGTTCTGCTAAGGATAAAGTGGCCTTATGAGTTTCCTTTTCTTCCTGGATTGATGATAAGGATGTCCTGAAGTCAGTCACCTGTTCACAACAACAACATAAAGCAGCTGATTGACCTATGAATCAACACCTAGAAGTAAAGAGGATGTGTCAGTTCTGGCTTTAAATATTTCCCCTGAATTAAAAGCGTAAAGTCTTTCTTTTACATTTAACTGTGTCTTTGCTCATTTTATATAAACTCTTTAAACCATGTTGGTGTTTCTTGATCAAAAAAATAAAGTTTTTCCATTTTTATTAAATAAAAGCTGTTGTTTTCATTTGTATTCAGCACCTCTGATTTGATATCTATAAAAACATCTTGCTGTTACAGCTGGGACTTTTTTGCATTGTCTGTCCAGATTCTAGAGGGATTTATTTTTACTTCCTCTTTGAAAATTATCCATGATGATCAGTTTCCAAGTGCCACAGATTCAGGTTACATCAGGCCTGTGCTTTGACTCTCCCATTTTAGCACTTCTTTAAACCAGGGGTCACCAACATGGTGCCCGCATGCACCAAGAGGCCCTCAAGGACCACATGGTTTGCAACTCAACAATGGGTCAAGTTTGAAATTTTTATTTTATTCTGCTGCTCTTATATTCCAATTATTGATATAGCGTGTATAAAATCAAAATGACAATATCTCGGCGGGTGGCCGCTCACACTGAGCCTGGTTCTTCCTGTTCAAAGGGAGTTTTTCCTTTCCACTGTCGCTACAAGCATGCTTAGTGTGAGGGATTGCCTTTGAGTCAATGAGTCGATGCAATCAACTGGTTTTCCTTCGATAGAAAACTGAATCAATCTGACTGGATGATCTGGTGAACTGTAAAATGCCTTGAGATGACATTTGTTGTGAATTGGCGCTATAGAAATAATCTGAATTGAATAGAATATCTAAAAGAAAATCAGAAATTATGGAAACAGTAAAAACATTTTTATTATGTATGAAGTTTAGATGAACGCTGACCCCATAGTTCATAGGTCAGTATTGGCAGCTCTTCCAATGACTGTTTGGTGACCCCTGCTTTAAACTTTGAAATTATTAAAATACTAATTGTCTATAAGTGGTTTAAAGTTATCTATCAGTGTTATGAGAGCAAATAATAGCTGTTTTTTTTTTTTTTTTT